TAAAAAAAAATCATTTGCAACTCAAAATTTAGATCCCCATTGAGAGTGAGCTGAGAAACACTAGCGTCAGCATTCAACAGAGCAAATTCAAACTGCTATGGCAAATTCCTAGCAAAATGTAATTTATAAAACCACGAAATAAAAACCTCAAACAATTCAACCATGACCTATATAATAAAAAATGTTTAAAAAAAATCAAGCCCTCTGGAACCAAGGCCTACCCGTACACTATACCCTCCCGGGAGCCAAGGCCTACCCGTACACTATACCCTCCCGGGAGCCAAGGCCTACCCGTACACTATACCCTCCCGGGAGCCAAGGCCTACCCGTACACTATACCCTCCCGGGAGCCAAGGCCTACCCGTACACTATACCCTCCCGGGAGCCAAGGCCTACCCGTACACTATACCCTCCCGGGAGCCAAGGCCTACCCGTACACTATACCCTCCCGGGAACCAAGGCCTACCCGTACACTATACCCTCCCGGGAGCCAAGGCCTACCCGTACACTATACCCTCCCGGGAGCCAAGGCCTACCCGTACGCTGCCTCCGAGGTGGGCCTGCATTTTTATACCCTCCCAGGAGCCAAGGCCTACCGTGCACTACCCTCCGGGGAACCAAGGCCTACCCGTACATATACCCTCGGGGCCAAGGCCTACTGCATTTTCATACCCTCCGGGGCAAGGCCTACCGTACACTATACCTCCGGGGAGCCAAGGCCTACCCAAAGGCCTACCCGTACACTATACCCTCCCGGGAGCCAAGGCCTACCCGTACCAAGGCCTATACCCTCCCGGGAGCCAAGGCCTACCCGTACACTATACCCTCCCGGGAGCCAAGGCCTACCCGTACACTATACCCTCCCGGGAACCAAGGCCTACCCGTACACTATACCCTCCCGGGAACCAAGGCCAACCCGTACACTATACCCTCCCGGGAGCCAAGGCCTACCCGTACACTATACCCTCCCGGGAACCAAGGCCTACCCGTACACTATACCCTCCCGGGAACCAAGGCCTACCCGTACACTATACCCTCCCGGGAACCAAGGCCTACCCGTACACTATAGCCTCCCGGGAGCCAAGGCCTACCCGTACACTATACCCACCCGGGAACCAAGGCCTACCCGTACACTATACCCTCCAGGGAACCAAGGCCTACCCGTACACTATACCCTCCAGGGAACCAAGGCCTACCCGTACACTATACTTTCCCATACACCATGGAGAATCTGATTGGCTCCCCTGAGTTACAATGGCTTAGAACGTTAACCGACAGCTCTCACCCAATAAGCATTGTCCAGTATCAGACCTGCTTGAACTCTTAACTGCTTAAGTTGTCAAACAGTTCTAAAAACACTTGACAAATTATTAGAGGAGGGTGCCAGGGCATTCTTGCACTAGTAAAATAACGACTGCAGCTGGCTGTAATGGTTATAGTGCTTTTAGTTTAGTTTAGTCTGCAGCATTTCTTCACTTCTAAATTATACATTGCATGCCAAATTTAGGGTTTCTCTCCGTTTCACAAGCCACACACACACACATTAACAGTACTATGCAGAGCAAGGCTTGACAAGTCTCAGGCGCCATTTCGCCATGGCGCCTGGCATTTATCATCCCTTTAGCAAAGGTGGCATCCTGGATAGCATTGTAGTTGGCCACCAGGGGGAGCACAGAGGTGGTCGGCCAAGGCGGCAAGGAGATGGCATGCGAGGAAGTAGTAATGTTACTGCAGTTCTGCTCTGCTCTGCTCCCTCTCGCACTAAGTGATTCCGGGAGCCAGAATATGACGTCACTCCGGCATCACTGTAGAGAGTGCATAGAGGACCATAGAGGAACTGCAGGTAATGATCGGAGCAGCCCCGACTGGACCCCAGGGAAAGATCTACTCCGCTTTCCTAAAGTAGGGAGGCTGGGTGGACATAAATTAAAATGCCAATTTGTGTGTGTATGGGAAAATGAGAGTGTGTGTCTGCCGGTCAGTGTGTGTGGGTGTGTATCTGCCCCCCTCCAATCGCATGAGACAGGTGTTTTTATTCACCTTTTGTGCCATGCTGTGCCGAGTTTGCTGTAGCTGGTCCTTCATCCATGACGGAGATCCTCGACTTTATAATCTCGGCCAAGCCAATGCTTTCCCTTAGGAAAGCATTGGGAGGATACTGCACATGTGTGGCAAAACACTACACTGCACCAATCAGCATCACCTTATAGAGATGTATTGAATCAATGCATCTCTATGGGGGAAGGTGGAGACAGAGCGGTGGTGCTGTACACAGTGCAGCACTGACCCAGGACCCTCTTGTGGCTGGCCTGAGTGACTATCACAAGAGATGTTACTATGCAGCAAAGTAAACACTGCCTTTTCTCTGTCTGCAAGGACTGTCTATATTCACCAGTTTACATTTTTCTCGTTGAAAATGAAATTTTGTTAGTTTAAAAAAAACTGGCTCCTAATTTTTTAAGCTAACTCCTAGATGCCAAAAAATTTGTCAAGCCCTGATGTAAAGGGCAACGACGGACTCCAATCAATGAGAAGGAAGACTTTATTTGGCTATATATGGAGGACATTGCTTGTATTTAAAAGTCTCAAGGGTCTTCGCTAACATTACTGGGCATTGCTGCCTAGAGATATAATAAACAGATGAATCACTCTAGAATTACCCAACATGTTGATACTGGGCTCCTTTCAAGTGCTTTCAGCCTAGATTCTATGCATTGTAGAAGAAACATTCTGGGTGTATATGAAAGAATTAGGAACACTGTATTAAGATGGACTATAACTCCTCACTGCAGCGAGCACCCAGGATTTGCTGTTTTAGCAACTATCGCCTTGGAAGTGGAATGCGAATATGGAAAGGATTATTCCACTGTGGTTTTTTGTTATTTATAAAGCGCCAACAAATTCTATAGCGCTGTACAATAGGCTTTCTACTGGAGAGCTGTAAAATTCGATGAGCTATATGCATCTAGAATGCAGACACCGTTTGCATGGAGTACGGTGTGTGGATCTATTTATGGAGATCCATGCCATCCAGTTAATATACAACTTGGATGGCATGGATCTCCATATACAACAATATGTAATAAAATAAAATGCATATAACTAAAAAGTCACTTCCAGAGAAATGGAAACACTTTAGATCTAACAGCAACAACCCATTCTCTCGGAATGCTCACTTGCAGAAGATACAGGACACGTGTCATCTTTTAAATCAAACTGCGGGTGGTCCAGGAGCAAACACTTTGATCCTATGTAGAATCCTAGATAGTTATGGGTGTTATTTTATTAGTTCAGGGTCTTTGAAGGTGTGGGAAAGTAAATGGTGAGGCTATGGTTGCCTTTACAATACGAATAGAAAGATTTATGGAATTCTGAACACATTCCCACCTCACCGGAGTAACAAGTTTAACAAGCCGATCTTCACAAAATACATCTCACTTAGGTGGTTATTGTGCCTGAAGTCACATGGTTTCATCCCACTGTTCAGTGTTAAAACAACCACAACACAAGTTGGGTTACACACCTTATAAACACTCCACTATCCCGACTCCATGGTAAATGTTAGGTTTTGGTGAATCCTGTGATAGTAATATTTTAAAACACTACATTTGAAATGCTAGCGTAATATAGGACCATTCATATAAAATGATACATTTAAGCAGACGAGATATGTCCATAAATAGGGCAAGATAATCTATTTTTATGCGCTTTTCTTGAGCTGCACTAGTTGCAAGGAAAGACAAATGAAGGAGAATGTTCCGTTTTCCATTTTTCCATTTTAGATTTTAATACATAATGTGTGAGTGCACTAAATTTAAGAGGAAAGTTACAGTTGAAGCAGCAAATATCAAAGCGGTTCCTTTTGTTTTGGTTATGAAGTTACACATTTGCCTTAGTCCTTAAGGCAGGGGTTCTCAACCCAGTCCTCAGGACCCCCTACCAGTCCAGGATTTGGGGATTACCTGGGTGTGTCTCAGGTGTTTAGAAAAAGGGGGAAAAAAACACCTTAGACTCTAAGGTGTTTTTTTTTTTTTCTTCTAAACACCTTAGACACACCCAGGTAATCCCTAAACCCTGGACTGGTAGGGGGTCCTGAGGACTAAGGTTGAGAACCCCTGCCTTAAGGGGTTCAATAATTTGGGTGCTAATCTTGGTTATAAGCCTATAGTCCAACGTATGTTTGTGCTCGGAATTTATCTAATATGTAATGGGATATAGAAGGAGAAGCAAAGTTGGTTGAGGTGTGCCAAAACCAACGTACGAGTAGGCCTGTAAAAGAGGGCTGTGGCGAAACCGACCTCGCCACTGGGCATTGGAGAAGACTGATTGCCAGCCTCCTGCCATGTGACTATGGCCCCTGGGATGTATTGCCCATTAAAGACATGATTTGGGCATAATGGATTTGTGTTGTGCTGGCCCTTTAAGAACCATCTGGGGACATACTGTGGAGTTACTGGGTGGCCACCATTTCCTGTATCAAAGGCACATGGTGAGAACAATGGATGAAGCACATGGTTAGAACAATGGATGGCGGCCATTTTAACTCACAGACACTGTGCCATCTCGCCGGTATTTGGTGCACAGAGACATCGTGCAGTGGTTTTGGACTATACAACAGGGGACACATTGTGCAGTAATTGTTTTTCATTTAGCCTGCATATGTTCTGTGGAATGCATTAAACGGTATCTTCCAAAGTACTGAATGGATCTGGGTGAATTTTGGATATGTGGTTCACCCAGATCCCCTGGTTCCAAGGATATACTTTATGGGGTTGTTGCATGTTTTGGGGTCCCTGTGATGTGTTTTATGATACTGAATTTCTCTGTCTGTGATAATTAGATTACCCATTGTGTAAGGTAATTGTATTACAGGCAGAGGGGAGGATTTTGTGTGGGAGTGTCTGTGTGTATTGTACAGATTGATTGGTTGTTCTGTAAACCCCTGTGGGCAGTACTAAGTTTGTGGATTGGGAATAAAAGAGGCTGTATGTGCCAGTACAGTCAGTTCCTGCTTAACCCTCAAAGTGAAGTGTCGTCTCATTATTGGGGGAGGATTTATTGTATGCTGTTCCAGTTTGACTGCTAGGAGTGTAAACCTATTCGCATGGTTTTTCCTATTCGGCTGTATACAACATTCATATGCTTGAGAGCATTCATATGCTTCTCCAGTTCGTGGTTGTGGTGTCTGCTGCAGTGCTTGGAGTCCTCAGGAAGCGCTAGGAGCATCCTTCAACGGAGGTACCCAGTCGGGGTGCCAGGTGATCCGTTACAAGGGCCCACAAAGGTGAATTGTTAATATAGATGGGTGGGGACAAACAGCTTGCATGACAAAGGTAAGTAAGGGGGGTAGGGTTTATATAGGATCATAACTCCTCCCACAAATTCAGGTCAAATGGCCTTCCAACTTGTGCTCGGAATTTAATATGTAATGGGATGTAGAAGGAGAAGCAAAGTTGGTTGAGGTGTGCCAAAACCAACGTACGAGTAAGCCTGTAAAAGAGGGCAAAAGAGGATTCAAAGAAAACACACTTTACGCAAGTTTATACAGCGTGGGTACTGAAAGCTTGTGAGGAGCTTTTACTCTCAGGTATATATGTAACTGCGCTGAAGACTGCCCGTGGCCCTGACACTTAGTGATGTAGACTGGGGTGTAAGAGCTTGAAGCTGCTGATGCAGCGCTTTGTGACAGAGAGGCCAGCAAAGGAAGCCATGATGTAGCTCCACCTTAATGGAAGCTTTAGACTTGAAGTAGTGGATTAGGACTGATAGTGTGTGGTTGACCTTGGAGACGTAAAGCTGAGTGACAGCATATGAGGTTTAAGTAAGATGCTTGATTTGTAGGTTTGGAGAAAGAGGCAAAAAATAACCATATTTAACTGCAAAAGTCTAACTGTGACATGTACAATATACAAGGCCCTGGCGTGAGTGATAGAGTAGTCATGAAACTGCGTGAAGCGAGCGCACCTGTACGTGGTGTAATTGTGTGCTTAGTCCAAGATTAGCTCATGGAATGGTGGTATCCCGGATGACATGTAGTGGACCATAGGGAGTGCCTGAAAGAAGACCTTAAAATGAGAGCGTGCGAGAGTGTCAGCGGCTGTGTAGTGGACACCAGGAATGTAAATGTAGACCAGAAAGAGCTGAGGGGTTGTCGTCTGCCGAATCAGCCACAGTGGCGGTATGACCGCCCTTGCTAATGAAATCGCAGGCTGCGGATTCGTCAGAGCAGCATTCCACTGCCTTGCCGGTCCAAAGATGACCCAGAGTAAGGGAGGATGTCAATGTTGACCTAGTTAGGCGTATTTTGGGTGACAGACAGGCTGTATATGTGGAATAGGTGTGAGTTCTGGAGCAGATGAAGCGGATGTGTGATATCCTGTATGTAGTGAAAATAGCATACCCCAGCATTAAAGTCATAGCTCGCCCGCGCTTTGCCCGGAAATTACTGGTCAGCCCCGCTTGTCCTTCTGCCCGCCTCCCATTTTAGTGCGTGGTATGAAGGAGTGGTAAGAGGGACTAAACAGTTAAATTTGTGACAGACCCAAGAAGCCTGGATATGTTAAAAGCATAGTGATAGGTAACGGGTTCTCGGGTGTGTGCAGAGAGAGGGAAAAGACATGCGTGGGCCTAACGAGGTCGTGCGTAATAGTAGGAATGTAGTATGAAAGGTTGTATTCTTTATCCCACGTATATTAGAAATTAGACGTATGTAATTGCCCAAATGTGGGGCTGAAATTGACGTAACTAACTGCCCAAATGAGGGGCCAGAATTGTCATAGTGCCCGTAGTGGGCCATGTGTAAACGTATGGAGTGAAGGCTTGGTGAGGGCCATGTGTAGAGGTATTGTAGTGGAAGGCAGAGTGCTTAATGTTAGTCCTGAGCTGCTGGGTGACAAAATAGGGCTGTATGAGGGGTATGGATGTATAGAACGAACAAAGAAGGGAACTAACAAAGAAAGGGTGAGAGATTCCTTCGGAGACCCAGGACTGACTGGTGTGCTGGGTATTTCGTCCAACAGTAGACAGATTATTGGGATGGATTCTTGTGACATTCTGAAAAGAAATAATGATTTGGATAAGTAAGGTGTCGTAGAGGTGGGGATGAGACTTCTGGAGAACTGGCCTGCTAGCTAGTGCCCAGCCGAAGAATTAACCTAGGACCAAGTGACAGGTGAGGCCCTGCTATTGCCAAGTGGCGGTGAGAGGCTCTACCTATGGTTTGGGCCGAGGGGGTTTTGTGGCCACCAGAATCTCGGTGACAGTAAGAGATTCAAAACGTGTGGCCGTTACTTGGGAAGCCCTAACTGTAGCCCAAAGAAGAGCGAGCGAGGTGGCTAGCTATGATTTGGTTGTGGGGCTGAACCTCCGTGTATGAGGTGGGGGTATAGACCTCGTGGACCGCAGTATTATTTAGGAAAGCTAGGGCCAGCGCCTAACCCTGAAAGCCAGTTCTCTAACCTGACGGGGCTTGTCTCTAGAAAGGAAGTATGTAACGTATGTAGATACTGATCTCAAGTGTTTGTCCAGTATATTTAGACAATGCACAGGGCGACTTCAATATATGTGTATAAATATATATATACTGCGAAGAACGGGTCCAGTCCAGGAACCTAGGGGTAAAAGGATTCTAGCAGGCCTGAGGCATGCCACTGGTATGCCAAGTGAAAAAATGTAGAGCGTATGAAAAGGAGTGAAACAGCGAAACTATAGCGTAAGAACCAGTGTAAGCTGAGAGACCTGAACGTTGGTCTAAATATTTTGAGACAAGCCCCTGGATTCCCACAAATGTGCATTACTTGTGAAAGATACGAAGGCAAAGTGAGGCCTTATAAGGAACGTAATCGTAGGGAGTAAGATTAATGATACCTGATACTGAAACGTCAGGGACCTGGTAGCCTGTTGGTTTGTTGATGGCGTAGTGAATCTGCGACATGGTGCAGGTCTAAGTAATGATATGTAGAAATGATAAACAAATTTAACACATTAATATAATAGTAACATGGAGGGTGAAGCATCTTTAGACCCGGTGTGTTTGAAGTTAGAACCCACTGTGGGAGGTCATAGTAAAAATGGCCGTGGAGGCTGAATGAGGCCTCAGGAGAAACGTAAAAATGTTAACCTTTTTCTACCTGATACCGTGAGACGGGATACTGGAACCACCTCCTGGAGTTTTCTTGAAGAAGAGTAGTAGAACCTAAAACACGTTCATTATTTAAAAATAAGGAACCAGAGTATATATGATATAGGATCATAACTCCTCCCACAAATTCATGCCAAATGGCCTTCCAACATACGGAGACCTCTTGCTTACATTACCTTCCATGATTGTTTAGGCTGTCCAGAACAGTAACTCTGCCTTAGCATTCTCTTTGCAGCCAAATCACCATACATGTGGCCCACTACACAGATTATAATGCATGGAATTTCAGGTAAGATCTCCAACGGCATAACTCCTATCATCCACAAACTGGCTGAGGGATCTGATCCTAGGACGGTCAATGGGCTTTTTGTCTCTGAACCATCTATTAATATAAAATGAGCTGCATGTTGTGTTTTTCTAGCGAAGCAAAGAATAACGACAGAGATACTTGATATTTTTTTGCTGGTAAATAATTGAAGGTACGCAGTTGGAGAGTGAACACAGTGTATAATGTGTGAAGTACCATTTAGAATTAACGTCAGTTCTACAGTTATGATGCTTCTGTTATAACCTTTCATGATATGCTAGAGATTAAAGGACCTCTATAGTGCCAGGAAAACAAACTCTTTTCCTGGAACTGAATGGTTATTAGGTCGTCGTCCTCCCCCCACCCTCAGCGTTCCCCTCCCTTGGCGCTAAAGGGGTTAAAACCCCTTCAGCCACTTCCCTTAATCCAGCGCCGGGCTCCCTCGGCGCTGGTGACCTTTACTCCCCCTCCGATGTCAGTTCCCGAGTGGAGCCAAATGTGCATGCGCGGCCAGAGATGCACGCGCATACAAACTGCCCATATTACACTCAATGCATTCCTATGGACGTTCTGCGTGCTCAATGCGATTTTCGCATTGAGCGTCGCGGAACCACCTCTAGCGGCTGTCAGGAAGACAGCCACTAGAGGCTGGATTAACCCTGCAATGTAAACCTAGCAGTTTCTCTGAAACTGCCATGTTTACAGCTGCAGGGTTAAAACCTGGGGGACCTGGCACCCAGGCCACTTCATTGAGCTGAAGTGGTCTGGATGCCTCTGGTGGTCCTTTAAATAGAAAGCAACATGCAGATTTCTCTCAGGCCGTTTTTGTGAAGGAGTACCGATTGGCTGACAGCATCAGCCATAATCTTTCATTTTGAAGCATTTCACCAAACGGAATGACAGGGGACAGAGAGATCTGGCGACGGCACACAGACTCTGGGGTTAAACCGTTCATGATCATTTATTCCCCTAAAGGTGCACCAGGTATCTCCTGGTACCATAACTTCAGTTTGATTACAAAGTTATGGTGCTCAAACTGGTCCTTTAAATAGAACATAACTGCATTCACCAGGGTGAACAAACCAGGGGAGGTATGTGCATTCATGTCTTGTGGGAGACTGACTCCATGACATCTCAAGGGGATTCATACATCCATACCATATGGTCACATGGGTGCAACTCAAGTATTCCTTCATTAGTGCAGTGTCTACGACAAAGCAGGGGTTAAAGTTACATGTTATGTCCACCATGCCGGTCAGGGCAAATAAAAATAAAACCACAAGCAGGATTTTCTAAAGACCTGGTACAGGTAAGTCAGACACTCCACAGTATGTAATATGGGTGAGAAACAATTGTTTAGGAATTTCAGTAAGGTGGATCTAAGGTAACTTAGTGCTCCAAGATTTGCTTTTACGAACCTGTGTTCAGAATTCTGCTAAAATTACTCAAATCGTAAGAGAACAAAGACTTCACAATGCAAAAAAAAAAAAGGGGCAGGTCAACTTTTTAATATGATTTTAAAAACATGCTTTTCTAAAAGTTCTTGTAAGCATTGCTGTCTCCGAGATATTTTTAGCCTTGCACCACGTTAGCCATTATCACTGGAAGGATTGCTAAAAATACTGTGTATAAACCAGACCAGCATGTTTGGACCAGTGCTATGCTTGATAGGATCAGTTCTTAAAGCTGTTGGAATGTACCAGGGACCCATTAATTTACACTTAGGGAGATAATTGACATAAGTAAATAAATATGATCAGGGTTTATATGGTTTATAAAATAGTGAGTGTAACAAGAGACCGGAATCAAACCCACTCCAAGAGAACTTACAGTCCATCATAGCTGTCCACATTTCAAAGGTTTCCCAAAAATCTAAGGGTCTGCACCCAAAGTCCACTTGCAGCACAGCCAGTGCACTTAGCTACAGTGGTTATTGTGCATAGCATATCTTTTCAAACCAATCCAATGATTCTCCTATAGACTGCATTACTGAATCTATGTCAGTGCGTGCAGATTCCAAAGTCGATACCTGTCTGACAGCATTGATAGGTGTTTTAAATTACAAAAGGTAAATGTTTTATTTACAGCAATAAGACCAAAATCACTCCAATAAAACCAAGTAGTTTTGGTGCATAGACTGTCGCATTAAGTGATCATCCATTTATGTGAGGTTTGTGTCATCGTAACTGGTGAAGGAAACAGAAATAGGGATTACATCTAGTTGGAGACAATAGAGGTAGCTAGTGACACGTTTCAGGATGGTGTGAAATCAGGAGAGTAGAGATATATGTGTGTCATCAGCATAGAGGTTGTAGAGGAATCCAAAGTACGTCATATGTTTGGCAATGGAGGCAGTATAGAGAGAAAACAGGAGGGAGCCAAGGATGGAGCCTTGAGACGATCCAGGTCCAAGGGAGGAGGTGTTATCAGAAAAGGAGATCACGAAGGAGTGTAGCGTAATACAGGATGAGAACCAAGAAACGACAGCATCACAAAGGCCAAAGTAGGTATGTTTATAACCTTGTCACTGGTGACGACTGATAGGGACATGACAAGATTGACAAGTGAAAACTCCCCCTTTTCTCAGGGACCATATTTCCTACTTTGTCTCAGTATATCTTTTGGCCGGGTTGGACTATAAGTGAGATTCCAACAGTCAATCTGAGTGTTTCATTTAGATTCTACCTTGTTCGTAGGGGGATATAAGAGTGTAACATGACAGTCTAATTACTAAATGTCTGTCCGGCCTTCTGGAACAAAATCAGCTGTGTTAATACACAAGTTAACGTTAGAAATTAATGCTCACATGTGAGAAAGTATTTTGAGATCCCAGGGAGCTAGGACTTTACCACGATCAGATTACCTTTTGTCTGATGTCACATTGGTTTCAGTTTCACCAGTCTCTGCACTGGTTCCAAATATTTCAGCAACAAAACATTTACCATGTTCACACACAACATTTAAAGGAACACTCCAGTTATTTTTTATTTTTTTTTATTATTCTGCTTGTAGATATACTTCAAAGAAAATATGCATGTAATTTGTTTTGCATGTTTTTGGGGGCTACATGAAATCCTGGCCTGCAATATCCATCTAATACCTGCAGGTACTGCAATGCCCCTCCTCTTCTAACCCCGCCCATACTTTCTGTGGCTGTCCAATCACAGACTTCCCAATGCAGCTCAATGAGAAGTCTGTGCAGGGCAGATGCTCTTTGTAATTGCTGCCTCGAGTTTCTCTCCACTGAGCTAACCAAACCAGGAAGTAACCGGATCGGTTATCTGACTGACAGCCAGGGGGGTGTAACAAGGTTCAGACACTTCACACAAATCATTTCACCAAGGTGAAGTGCTTTATGTGTTTGGAGTATACCTTTAACGCACCACAAAAGGACTGAAAAACACAGTATAAACATGCGCTGCAGATCTACTGTGGGTTTGAACACTTGGAATCCATGAGAGATTTGCTCAGGTCTATTAAAAGTATACAGATCCCACTAATGTGTAAAAAATGTTTGCCCTTAAGGAAATTTCTTAAAAACTCATGTAATCCAATATGGATACAAGACGTTGTGACAAATGTCCTCTGCATTTAAGAAGGCAATACACTACAAACATTTATCACAGCACCAATTTTAAAAGGCTTTAAATTACGTTTTGAGTTTTTGATGACTTATGAAAATTTCAAAATGGCTGCCAAGCCACATAATTGATGAGAGGTGCCCAAGCATAAGAGCACTGATGTAGCACATGCTTAGAGATTGCACGAACATAAGTAAATTGCAAATATTTGCATGTAACATAAAAAAATAAAAAAAAATAAAAACACACATATAGCTATTCAGCATACTGACTTTAAAGAGTTTTAATTTAACAATTTTGATATTAAAGTTATTTGAAAAATACACAGGAATGTTTTTGAATATTTCAAATCACCTTACTGACTTCTTCTGAACAAATCTGAATATAGGCCAGGGCTTGACAAATTTGTCTGGTATCTAGGAGCCAGCTAATCAAGTTAGGAGCCAGTAATTTTCAACGAGAAAATGCAATTCTTAAAGGGACACTATAGTCACCAGAACCACTACAGCTTGATGTAGTTCTGGTGTCTATAGCCTGTCCCTGCAGGCATTTTAGTGTAAACACTGCCTTTTCCGTGAAAAGGCAGAATTTACATTCCTGCTTAGTAACACCTCTAGTAACAATCACTCAGACAGTCACTAGAGAGTCCTGGGTCACTGCTGCACCATGTGCAGCACCCAGTTTCAGTATCTCCAAGCTCTGCATGGAGGTGCTGAATGTTCCTCGTAGAGATTCATTAATTTAATGGATCTCTATGAGGAAATGCGGATTGGTACATTTGCTGCGCATGTACAAAATCCTCCCAATGATTTCCTAAGGGAAAGCATTGGCTTAGCTGAGATCATAAAGAGTGATAATCTCAGCCATGGGGAAACTGGCACGGCGTGAGAAAATGGGGAAAAAAGGAGAACACACCCACACACCCACACACCCCCCGACAGGTTCTCACTAGAGATGTTGCAAACCGTCCGCAAACTTCTCGCGAACGGTTCGCGGCGAACAGCTCCGGTCAGCTGACACATCCCGGCCAATCTCCAGCAGACCCTCCCACCCAGACCCTCCTAATTCCTGGACAGCACATGGATGCTGTCCAGGAAGTAGGAGGGTCTGGGAGGGAGGGTCTGCTGGAGATTGGCCGGGATGTGTCAGCTGACCGGAGTTTGCCGCAAACAGCTCGTGGCGAACCGTTCGCAAGAAGTTCCCGGACGGTTCGCAACATCTCTAGTTCTCACACACACACCCCGACAGGTTCTCACACACACACCCCGACAGGATCTCTCTCACACACCCCGACAGGATCTCTCTCACACACCCCGACAGGATCTCTCTCACACACCCCGACAGGATCTCTCTCACACACCCCGACAGGATCTCTCTCACACACCCCGACAGGATCTCTCTCACACACACCGACAGGATCTCTCTCACACACACCGACAGGATCTCTCTCACACACACCGACAGGATCTCTCTCACACACACCGACAGGATCTCTCTCACACACACTCTGACAGGCTCTCTCTCACACACACACACATTTTTGTTTTAATTGAAACCTACTCAGCCTTCCTACCTTTGGGAGAGCTGAGAGGGTCTTTCCTTTGGTCCAGTGGGGCTGCGCTAATCCTGTGTGCGAGGGAGCAGTACTCTGCCTGTAGCTCCTCTCTGTTCCCTCGCGCTCTGTACTGATGCCGGGGCCAGAATGACGTCATATTCCGGCTCCCGGCATCATTACACAGCACAAGAGAGCAGCTGCAGGCAGATTACTGCTCCCTTGCGCGCCGCACACAATGCTCCCGCGGGCGGCTGCCTCCTCCATGCTACTCGCCGCATCCCAGACTCCAGCGCGAGATTTTTAGTCGCCATGGCGACCTGGTGCCTGGAATTTGTTGAGCCCTGATATAGTCCATAAGATCTTTACACAAAATTGCCCGTCTCCATGTGAAATATGTAACTATATCAGATACTCTGCAGCTCATAGTAACCCTCTTCAATTTAAAAAAACAAACAAACATTCAATAAAAAAAATGTTTGACATTTGTAAAAGTGAACCCATTTATTACAGTGTTTAGCAAGTCCATCTAGGATTAACCCTGCCTGCTGTAAAGATAGCAGTTTCAGAGAAACTGCTTTGTTTACATTAGGGTTAATCCAGCCTCTAGTGGCTGTCTCATTGACAGCCGCTAGAGGCACTTCCGCGCTTCTCACTGTGATTTTCAGGAATTTCCCCACATCACTGCCACCCAGACACAGGAAAACCTTTAATCTACATCAACATGGCACGATATGTACATTGCGCCCAAAATACACATAGGAGAGGATTAAATGAAAATGGTGATAGTCTCCCTTTAATCCTAGCACTCCTTCAACTAAGAGGTGAAGTTAACGCAGTATAAATCTGCAGGGAATTTGTATTCCTGGGAACAGAATAGATTGGTTTACGGTCATTAAAGAGTAATTAGTGGTAAAATCTAAACGATACACTTGAAACACTATTCATACAGTCCCTTATCACTGCCAATGCCACCTTCAGCTATTAGAGGCCAAAGATTAGTGGTTGCATCGGTTGTATAAGTAAAACACCCATGATGCTTTGCCAGCCTTAAGGTGGAACTGTCACCTGCCTAACTTTCAGTTTGCCCAAACCATGTGTTTACATAGGGTTTAAGCAAATGCCTGGTTAATAAACATTTAAGTATACTACATCCGACTGGCAAATCTGAGGTTCAAAAAGCAGACCTGAAAAGATATCCTAATTCAACATCACAGCATGGATATATAACCCGAAATTGTGCCATTTGGGTCTAATTGCTAACATTTTGTGTTACGATATACACTGACGTATTCAGCTTAAAAATGCACATTATGTGAAAAAAAGTCGTTGATGCTTAAAGGACCACTCTAGGCACCCAGACCACTTCAGCTTAATGAAGTGGTCTGGGTGCCAGGTCCTTCTAGGGTTAACCCATTTTTTCATAATTATAGCAGTTTCAGAGAAACTGCTATAATTATGAATAGGTTAAGCCTTCCCCCTAATCCTCTAGTGGCTGTCTCATTGACAGCCACTAGAGGCGCTTGCGTGCTTCTCACTGTGATTTTCACAGTGAGAGCACGCAAGCGTCCATAGGAAAGCATTGTAAATGCTTTCCTATGCGACGGGCTGAATGCGCGCGCAGCTCTTGCCGCGCGTGCGCATTCAGCCGACGGGGAGGAGGATCGGAGGAGGAGAGCTCCCCGCCCAGCGCTGGAAAAAGGTAAGTTATTACCCCTTTTCCCCTTCCAGAGCCGGGCGGGAGGGGGACCCTGAGGGTGGGGGCACCCTCAGGGCACTATAGTGCCAGGAAAACGAGTATGTTTTCCTGGCACTATAGTGGTCCTTTAAACTGAAATCCTGTGTGAAATGTTCAGAGATTATTTACTACATCTCACTGTAGTGGTCATGGTGCAGAGCATCCCTTTAATAAAATATGACAGGTCAGCAAGCACCATCATATAAAAACTACTTGCATGATGCTCAGCAAGCCTGGAAAACGCATCCTTTAACCCCTTAAGGACACGACGTGTGTGACATGTCATGATTCCATTTTATTCCAGAAGCTCGGTCCTTAAGGGGTTAATATAAATAGCAGATCATAAGTCGTAGACCCAATACAACTAGAGAACCTGCTTACTACCCTGTATTTAGAGGGTGAACACAACTTGCGGACCTAACATTTGAACTTGGCGGGCGTTATTTGCTAATCAGAATAGCTCCAACAAGTCATTTGTGAATTATAGGCCAAAAGAAGTAGAGAATTACTCTAATTTATATATATATTGTTTAGGAGGTATGTGGTCTGTTATATGCAATGCTATATAAGGTTTAGGAGGTATGAGGTCCGTTATATGCAACACTATATAGTGTTTAAGAGGTATGGGGTCCGTTTTATGCAACGCTATATAGGGTTTAGGAGGTATGGGGTCCGTTTTATGCAACGCTATATAGGGTTTAGGAGGTATGGGGTCCGTTATATGTAACGCTATATAGGGTTTAGGAGGTATGGGGTCCGTTATATCCAATGCTATATAGGGTTTAGGAGATATGGGGTCTATTATATGCCATATAGCGTTTAGGAGGTATGGGGTCCGTTATATGTAATACTATATAGGGTTTAGGAGGTATGGGGTCCGTTATATGCAACACTATATAGGGTTTAGGAAGTATGGGGTCCGTTATATGTAACAATATATAGAGTTTAGGAAGTATGGGGTCCATTATATGTAACGCTATATAGCGTTTAGGAGATATGGGGTCCGTTATATGTAACAATATATAGAGTTTAAGAGGTATGGGGTCCATTATATGTAACGCTATATAGAGTTTAGGAAGTATGGGGTCCGTTATATGTAACAATATATAGAGTTTAGGAAGTATGGGGTCCGTTATATGTAACAATATATAGAGTTTAGGAAGTATGGGGTCCGTTATATGTAACGCTATATAGCGTTTAGGAGATATGGGGTCCGTTATATGTAACGTTATATAGTGTTTAAGTGGTATGGGGTCCATTATATGCCATATAGCGTTTAGAAGGTATAGGGTCCGTTATATGTAACGCTATATAGGGTTTAGGAGGTATAGGGTCCGTTATATGCAACGCTATATAGGGTTTAGGAGGTGTGGGGTCCGTTATATGTAATGCTATATAGCATTTAGGAGGTATGTGGTCTGTTATATGCAATGTTATATAAGGTTTAGGAGGTATGGGGTCCGTTATATGCAACACTATATAGTGTTTAAGAGGTATGGGGTCCGTTTTATGCAACGCTATATAGGGTTTAGGAGGTATGGGGTCCGTTATATGTAACGCTATATAGGGTTTAGGAAGTATGGGGTCCGTTATATGTAACGCTATATAGGGTTTAGGAGGTATGGGGTCAGTTATATGCAACGCTATAGAGTGTTTAGGAGGTATGGGGTCCATTATATGCAACGCTATATAGGGTTTAGGAGGTATGGGGTCCGTTATATGCAACGCTATATAGGGTTTAGGAGGTATGGGGTCCGTTATATGCAACGCTATATAGGGTTTAGGAGGTATGGGGTCCGTTATATAGTGTTTAAGCGATATGCGGTTCATTATATGCCATATAGCGTTTAGGCGGTATGGGGTCCGTTATATGTAACGCTATATAGCGTTTAGGAGGTATGGGGTCCGTTATATGTAACGCTATATAAGGTTTAGGAGGTATGGGGTCCGTTATTTGCAATGCTATATAGGGTTTAGGAAGTATGGGGTCCGTGATATGTAACGCTATATAGGGTTTAGGAAGTATGGGGTCCGATATATGCAACGCTATATAGGGTTTAGGAGGTATAGGGTCCGTTATATGTAACGCTATATAGAGTTTAGGAGGTATGGGGTCCGTTATATGTAACGCTGTATAGAGTTTAGGAGGTATGGGGTCCGTTATATGCAACGCTATATGGTGTTTAAACGGTATGGGGTCCGTTATATGCAACGCTATATAGGGTTTAGAAGGTATGGGGTCCGTTATATCCAACGCTATATAGGGTTTAGGAAGTATGGGGTCCGTTATATGTAACGCTATATAGGGTTTAGGAGGTATGGGGTCCATTATATGTAACGCTATATAGAGTTTAGGAGATATGGGGTCCGTTATATGTAACGCTATATAGAGTTTAGGAGATATGGGGTCCGTTATATGTAATGCTATATAGAGTTTAGGAGATATGGGGTCCGTTATATGTAACGCTATATAGAGTTTAGGAGGTACGGGGTCCGTTATATGCAACGTTTTATAGCGTTTAGGAGGTATGGGGTCCGTTATATTCAACGCTATATAGTGTTTAAGCGGTATGGGGTCCGTTATATGCAACGCCATATAGGGTTTAGGAGATATGTGGTCCGTTATATGTAACGCTATATAGAGTTTAGGAGATACGGGGTCCGTTATATGTAATGCTATATAGAGTTTAGGAGATATGGGGTCCGTTATGTGCAACGTTTTATAGCGTTTAGGAGGTATGGGGTCCGTTATATGTAACGCTATATAGGATTTAGGAGGTATGGGGTCCGTTATATCCAACGCTATATAGGGTTTAGGAGATATGTGGTCCGTTATATGTAACGTTATATAGAGTTTAGGAGATATGGGGTCCGTTATATGTAACACTATATAGAGTTTAGGAGATATGGGGTCCGTTATATGTAACGCTATATAGAGTTTAGGAGATATGGGGACCGTTATATGTAACGCTATATAGAGTTTAGGAGGTACGGGGTCCGTTATATGCAACGTTTTATAGCGTTTAGGAGGTGTGGGGTCCGTTATAATGAATAACTACAAATTTGCTTGGAACCTAAGAGCCAGCAAAAAAGTTAGGAGCCAGGTTTTACAATATCAAAAATACAATTCTTAAAGGGACACTATAGTCACCAGAACCAATACAGCTTAATGTAGTTTTTCTGGTGTCTAATCTGTCCCTTCACACTTTTCAATGTAAACCCCGCCTTTCCAGAGAAAATGCAGTATTTACATTGCTGCCTTGCAACACTTCGAGTGACAATCACTCAGACAACCTCTGAAGTGCATCCTGGGTCAGTGCTGCACAGTATCTACATATTGCGTCTCCACGCCCTGAATCAATGCATCTCAATGCATGAGTAGAGGCTTATTGGTGCAGCATGGCGTTTTGCCACACAAGGTAGGGCCAGTTGCGGGATCAGTACAGCATGGGAGAAAAAGGTGAGTAAAAACCCCTTTCCCATGTGATTGAAGGAGGACCCTTCATCTAAACACACACAAACTCACTCAACCTCCAGGACTAGCCCAAATACCTATGCATGTTTAACCCCTTTAGACCGGAGGGCGTACTATTACGCCCTCTAATAGGCGGCTCTAAACGCCGCCGGGCGTAATAGTACGCCCTCCGGTCTTTCCTTACTTACCCGGTCGCCGGCGGTCCCACGCCGGCGATCGCGGTGGGGGGGACTCCCAGGGAGCCCCCCGCGGCACGACCGTCCTCGTCGAAGCCCCCCGGCCGTGTGAGAGTGGGGTCCTTGTGAGGACCCCACAATCACATGGCCGGGGATAGCTGGCTTCTGTATTGCCAGCAGGGGGGCTGCCTGTAATGACAGGGGGTCCGCCTGCTGGCTGAAAATAAAATAAAATAAAATAAATAGTGTAAAAAAAAAAAATATATACTTAGATCATATATATTATATTATATATGATCAAAGTATATATATACACATATACATACACACATGTACACCGTCTAGGTGTATTTTACTATTAATATATATATAATATATATATATATTAATATCAAATTACACGTAGACTGATACTGATTAAATATATATATATATAATTATTGTTATATATATTTATATATATTATATAAAAAAAAAATGTAAATACGTTAAAAAATAAAATTACAAAAATAATTAAAAATAATTAAAAAATATATAGATGTGTGTTATTTCGTTCTAACTGTATTGTGAAATTAATATATATATATATATCAAAATACACATAGAACGAAATAATATATATACGTATATATCACTATATATATATATATATATATACCTATATATAAATAAAAATATTTAAAAAAAATTATATAGATATATACATATATATATATATATACATATATTAATTCTACATATATATTTATGTAATATTTTTACATAATTATGTATCTTAATTAATTACAATTAGCAGGACCTGCATGACAACCCATGCCGAAAGTAAAGGGAATTTAATTTGCTAGCACTATATTTAACCCTATAACTTTCCGAGACACCATTAAACCTGTACATGGGGGGTACTGTTCTACTCGGGAGACTTCGCTGAACACAAATATTAGTGTTTCAAAACAGTAAAATGTATTACAACGATGATATCGCCAGTAAAGTGAAGTTTTTGCATTTTTCACGCACAAACAGCATTAAGCGGACAATATTATTGCTATGATACTTTTTACTGTTTTGAAACACAAATATTTGTGTTCAGTGAAGTCTCCCGAGTACAACAGTACCCCTCATGTACAGGTTTTATGGTGTTTTCAAAAGTTACAGCGTCAAATATAAGGCTTGCGTTTCATTTTTTTCACATTAAAATTCGCCAGATTGGTTACGTTGCCTTTGAGACCCTATGGTAGCCCAAGAATGAAAATTACCCCTATGATGGCATACCATTTGCAATAGTAGACAACCCAAGGTATTGCAAACAGGGTATGTCCAGTCTTTTTTAGTAGCCACTTAGTCACAAACACTGGCCAAAATTGGCGTTTTTTGCATTTTTCACACACAAACAAATACTAACGCTAACTTTGGCCAGTGTTTGTGACCAAATGGCTACTAAAAAAGACTGGACATACCCCATTTGCAATACCTTGGGTTGTCTACTATTGCAAATGGTATGCCATTATGGGTGTAAATTTCATTCCCGGGCTACTATACAGTCTCAAAGGCAACGTAACCAATCTGGCGAATTTCAATTTCAAATGTAACGTGCTATATTTGACCCTGTAACTTCCCAAAACGCCATAAAACCTGTACATAGGGGGTACTGTTTTACACGTGAGACTTTACTGAATACAAATATGTGTATTTTATTGCAGTAAAAGCAAACAGTATTATGACACTGACCTTTAAAATGTCATGTAGAACTAAAAAAATCCAAAAAAATCTTATTTTCTCCCATTTTTTTCATATTAAATTATGTTTCATAGCTAAATATTTGATATTAAATGAAAGCCCTGTTTCCCCTGAATAAAATGATATATAATAAGGGTGGGTGCATTTACTATGAAAGAGGTGTATTACGGTTGGACAGACATGTAGCGCAAATGCATGCCAGGTTTTGTTTACATTTTGTTTTGTTCACAATGTGTACATTTGGCTCCATCCTTAAGGGGTTAAATAAATGGAAATTATTTCCTAACTCCAATGGCCATTAAAAGCATATGTCTATTGGACCATCCTTATCTGTACAAAATATATGGCGCAAGCGCACTTTATACGCCAATGCAACGCAATAATAGGAAGTGATCAATGGGGTATAGGCGTATTTGGAAAACCATTTTGCTGCAGGCAAACTGGGAAGAGACCGATCACTGCTGTATCCTATGGCTTACTGCCCCTGATGACTGATGCAAGTAGTTTGTGTGGATAGGGAAGTGAATGACTGCACTATAACGTCCCCAGCAGAACATGACAGCTTGGGTTCCCACAAACTGATTAGGTTTTGTGAAAGTTTAGAAAAACTTTTACAAAATCTGTAAGGACTTCAACCAAAGTGACCTAACATCTGAACCAATAAAGTACAATACTAATGACAATGTTATACAGTGGTTGGAGCGGCCCTTTCAGTTTCCTGAACACTGCAGTTTGATATTATGTTATTGACTGGTCATGCCATTAAGTACTGAATTCCATAGCCTTTAATACAGACACTGAAGGCTCTAACAGACTTTGGAGAAACATTTCCAGGAACAACTACTTAAATGCTGACATTTACAGAATAAGCTCCTACTCTCTCCATTTCAGTACATCATCACAGAAAACATACCCAACAGGTTTAATGGTGGCATGAAACAGTTCTAAAAAAACCTTAAAAGCTAAAACCAACTTAAAGCAAAACACACAATATATCAAAGTGATAAATATTGTATCACTAATAATAAACAATATTTCAGATTCAACGTACAATCCAACAATAATAAAAACGATGAAGTTTGCTAATTATGTGACTGTATAAAGTATATGTTAAGATATACCACTGGATGTCTACACAGAATTTACAGTCCTGGAACTTTGTTCTGGTCTGGCTGACGCCATCAGAGGTGCAGTTACTACACATATCAGAGCAAAATACTGCATATTAATACTCCAGTAACCATGGCCCTTTCATATTTTATCAGCCAAATTTGCCATACCTCAGATTATCCAAGGGTAGTTACATTTTGATTGTCACTTTACAAACAGGACAGCAATAAGGCAATTGACCTGGAGTCTGCCCATTATACTATCAAGGTACCTTCAGTCTGGGTGCCATAAACATTACAGAACACACTACACTTGCCAGTAACGTGAACAGGGCTTCATATTCGGCAATTTACATTACTCCCACAATGCAACAGGACAGGGCATAATGCCCATTTAGCCACCAAATGCACCAATATAGCTGCAACCTCTTAGCTCACTACCAGGAATGAAATTTGTAGCTAATCTCAGCCATCATGTAGGAAGAATGCAGGGACCGTTGCCTAACAACTAAATTATTCATAGAGCTGAATGAGGGGCAAGCAATCCCTACGACAGCATAACAAAGATAGTATGAGAACTAGCGGTCACAGGCAGGCAGGTCTCGGGAGCAGCCGGAACACACAGCAGAACTGGCTATTTTTACTCTATGTGGACACTTCCCATCATGCCTCTAAAATCACGTCATATCTCACATCACAAGCATGCAATGCATCCACTTTACATTTGGCGCTGACTCTAAGAAAGCCAGTAGTGTAGAAGGGGTTCTGATGCATAGACAGAATACAAAATACACAAGCTGATAAATACAGGGAAAATGTTAAAACGTACTCCACCCCAGCCGGGTCATGATTGCTTTGAAAGAACAACATGCTGAACTTTGTTCTGTTTGCCAGGGGCCTGATCCAAAAGCTGAGACTTTCACCAACTCTCCCGATAAAACGATAAAGAAAATACACAGGCATGAAAAAGACCTTGGGCACCTGGCATAGAAAGTTAAGTTACCATTACCACTTCATGAACGCAAGTCTATTTTCAGCTATGTATGTAATTACTAAACTGTTTGACAGTGTACTGGCAGATTGCACCCAGAGACTCCTGGCACTATAACCATTACAGCACAGCACTCTGTGGTATAGTGCCTAAATTATCTCTTTACTGCAAGTTAGATTTGTGGTGGGAATTGTAAACAGTCCCATGAAAAGCTTCAAATAAGATAAGTAAATACAATGATCCATTTGGGATTTTGTGAAATATATATAGAGAGTATAAAAACTACGAGACAGTAATAAATAGTGTTTCTGGGATACTCTAGTTCAGGCATAGGCAACCTTCGGCACTGCAGATGTTTTGGACTACACCTCCCAGGATGCTTTGCCAGCATTATGGGGGATGTAGTCTATAACATCTGAAGTGCCGAAGGTTGCCTACCCCTGCTCTAGTTCATTGATCTCAACTCTGAACCCCCCAGGTGTTCAAGGCCTACAACTCCCAGAATTATTTGGAAGCAATAGGCGGCCAGAGAATCAAGGGAGTGTTAGTTCAGAAACATCTGGGGGTCAGAATTTGAAATGTCGACAGACAATAAATTGATGTTGGACACAGCTTTCCTTACCATTAAAGGAACACTAGTCACCTAAATTACTTTAGCTTAATAAAGTAGTTTTAGTGTATAGATCATTCCCCTGCAATTTCACTGCTCAATTCCCTGTCATTTAGGAGTTAAATCACTTTGTTTCTGTTTATGCAGCCCTAGCCACACCTCCCCTGGCTATGATTGACAGAGCCTGCATGAAAAAAAAACAAAAAAAAACTGGTTTCACTTTCAAACAGATGTAAATTACCTTAAATAATTGTATCTCAATCTCTAAATTGAACTTTAATCACATACAGGAGGCTCTTGCAGGGTCTAGCAAGCTATTAGCAGGGCATAAGAAAATCTTAATTAAACAGAACTTGCAATTAAGAAAGCCTAAATAGGGCTTTCTTTACAGGAAGTGTTTATGGAAGGCTGTGCAAGTCACATGCAGGGAGGTGTGACTACGGTTCATAAACAAAGGGATTTAACTCCTAAATGGCAGAGGATTGAGCAGTGAGGCTGCAGAGGCATGTTCTATACACCAAAACTGCTTCATTAAAGGACCACTTTAGTGCCAGGAAAACACACTCGTTTCGCCCGGCTCTGGGGAGAGGAAAGGGGTTAAAACCTACCTTTCTCCAGCGCTGGGCGGGGAACTCTCCTCCTCCGTTCCTCCCCGGCAAGAGCTGCTCGCGCATTCATCCGGTCGCATAGGAAAGCATTTACAAGGCTTTCCTATGGACACTTGCGTGCTCTTACTGTGATTTTCACAGTGAGAATCACGCAAGCGCCTCTAGCGGCTGTCAATGAGACAGCCACTAGAAGAATTGGAGGAAGTATTAACCCATTTGTAAACATAGCAGTTTATAAAAAAATGGGTTAATCCTAGCTGGACCTGGCACCCAGACCACTTCATTAAGCTGAAGTGGTCTGGGTGCCTAGAGTGGTCCTTTAAGCTAAAGTTGTTCAGGTGACTATAGTGTCCCTTTAACATAACCTCTTAGCACTATCTGCTGCTTATCTAAGAGTGTTCCTTACATGATCAGAAAACGAACAAAAAACACAGGGTTTTCCCAGTTTTTGCACTATTTAAATATATAGACAAACAAGCAAACTATCCCCATTAAGAGAAAGTTGGAAGCAACAGGCATGCTTTAGAATGCTGGAGGAAATCAATGAAATCCAATCAAACTGAGTCATTCATGACAAACAATGGGCTGGGACAGCTCCAGATTGCTAGGACCACCCCGAGCAGCTCACACTGTCTGAAGAAATTCTGAGAACCTCACAGCAGCAGTAGTGTACGGTCCTAACCCGGAACTAGTGATCATAAAAGGTGCCACTAAGCCTGATACAGAGTCCTGGTTAAAACAAAGTAACAAAACGTCTTTCATTTGCAAATACAAATGTTTATATATTATGCTTTGGCCTTATCACAATGACAGCCATTAATATTCTCAACCCAGTGGTAGGTATCAATTCTCTAACACTGGATGCTAGGGGCAGTGGTGCCCAACATTAGTTAAACACACGCAGACCAGAAAAGACAGTCATAAACAGACTACTATGACTTAAGCATTATCAAGAAAGCCAGGCCTGTGAGTGAAGTAATAGAGCAATACCAACACAAACTATAAACACTTTGTACATCACTTGAAAAAGGGGCATATAATCAGATTTATAGGCCAAGAAATCTTTAAATACTCCACTTTAGTATTGGGTGTTAAACACAACAAGAACAATAAAAAGCCATTCAGACAACTAATTTAAGTGAGTAAACAAAAGAGAATACTGGTCAAACTCCTCACAGAGACAAATACAGAGAGATCACTTGGAAGTGGTTTCCCCCGCAACGTCTCCCGCAGGGGGAGGGTGGTCTTAAAGGCAACGCATCCCACTGGGTGGGATTGTGGTCCCACAAGTA